CACATGTTCACGGGGACCCTGGTACACAATGTGACTATCAGAGAGTAGAATAATATCATCAAAAAGATTGTATGTCTCTGGTGCCGGCTGCAGGAGTGAGATAACTGCGGTTCCTTTCATAATGTGGACATATTGCTTGAGTGAATTTACAATTTGAAAAGTTGTTGAGCTATCCAAACCAGTGGATATTTCATCCATAAATAGAACTTTAGCCGGTCCAACCAGCATCTCCCCTGTATTTGTAGGCTTATATAATTAACAAAGATTCTCATACAGTTAATTTATTGAGGTTATTAAACATGATACACTGCAAGATTGAAATCAGTTTTTTTTTACCAGTTGTAACGCGTTTCCTTTGTCCACCAGAGATACCTCTTATCATTGCATTTCCTATAATGGTATCAGCACAAACTTCTAGTCCCAAAATCTGTAAATGTGTACCAAAGAAACAAGATCATTTAGAACAAAATATTTTAATGAGTTCATGATGATCACAAATGGTTTTGAAATTATAAATTTTACCCTTAGGACATAATCTGTTATCAAATTTGCCTTTTTGCCTTCAGTTGCTACAGCCTGAGCATCATGAGTAAAATAGACAACCACTTAATTATCAGTCATTTCTGCTTGTGTGGAAAATAAATTGATGATGCACTCAATTTCAAGATAACTTAATTACTGATATTAATCGTGGTTTAAAGTCACTGCATGCTTGCTATTACAACTAATCTATCACCCACATTTTCTTGATAACAAAATTCTTCTGGGTGAGAAAATTTGAAATTAGTAACAATAAGTAGAAGAACAGAATCTCCGAAATATAACAGGCCAATTGTTAAGCTTTATTATGTTGAAAGGCTATACTAGTTGGACAAGTTTAGAGTAGTGGTAAAACTGCTCCTTTGTGACTAAAAGGTCACGGTGGAGGTCTCCCCTATTTTGGGCTCTCTTGAATCACTTAACAAGTGTTATTAGAGCTTGATCGCTCTTGATAAATATTCTCCTAAGTACTTGAAGAGGTTGTCAATCAATTCCACTAAATTAATTAGGATTCAATCCCTTGACTCCCTAATTCTTTATAATCTTGAATTAACCCTAGTTCCCCAGTTATTCCTCAAGAAAACAAGCATTAAACACAAGAATTAAAAGATTGCATAATTGCCCTATGTCTATTCCTAGAATCACAAGGATTAGGATAAATTTATCAAACAAGGTTCATGCAACAACATTCCTATTGTCATACAATTACCATAAATCATACTACAAGAATTAACTCATAGAAAGCATACTAATAATGGGTCTCATATTGAGGGGGAGGTTGTTGTTTTGGGCTCCATTTTATGACCTATCAAACGGTATCAAAGCCAGTGGTTTGACCCCTTTCGCTTGAAGAGGAGCATTCGAGTCAGAGGTCTTCCTTGTTTTAGGTTCCCCTTATGGCCTAACAAATGCATCAACTTTTGTCAGAGGTGAACGGTTTATAGGTCTTTCGAATTTTGGATTCCCCTTTGTGACCTAATAAGTGATATTGAAGCCAATTGGTTAGGTTGAGCGGTGTATTTGGAGATGATGGTTGGTGCTCGTATTTGTTCTTGTGACACCTATACTATCGAGTCAAGACTTAACTACTCTTGGTTGGTAACCCTACGATTATAAGAAGATTCTTTCATTTAAGGGGGAAGATACTAATATTGGGTCTCACACTTGAAGGGAAGATTGTTGGAAATTATAGTGATGAATGGTAAAGTCCCACATTAGTTAGAAAAAGACAAAGTAAGGACCATGTAAGTGAAAAAGATACATAGACTCATAAAGTTTTGGAGTAAAATGTGATGTCAAAATTATTTATTGTGAATTGAGTTTCCTACTTAACCTATTCATTGAGTCCATATTACCTTCATGTAGACATCAATATCAGGATCAGGCTTGATATTTGCTTCTATTTCTCTTCTGGACAATTCTGCTAGCAAGTCTGCATAATGCCAAAAGTATTACACATAATTAAAACTTAATTTTCATCTAAAATTTCAGCCTGTGTTTCAATATTGAATTTAATGAATATAAGCAAAAAGCATTCCTATAGACTAACCATAACGAGGGCCAACTCCTTGGACTCTTGCTGAAAATGCCAAGGTTTCTCGGACTGTCATTTCTCCAATATGAAGATCATTTTGATTGACATAAGCAGCAGTTCTTTGGGGTACAAACTCATTCATTCCACAACCATTATAAGTCACCTTTCCAGAGAACTGATCAAGAAGCCATTCTATATTAGATATAGATTCAAGATTGATAATAGAGCTAAGACATGAAATGAAAAAAAAAACCTTCTCTTTAATGTCCTAACCTTTACTTTTGAATCAAGTTTACCGGCCAAAGCCAACAGAAGTGTGGTTTTTCCAGAACTTGGAGGGCCCAAAAGCAATGTCATTCTAGAGAGACAAATGGAAACATGGTAAATTGGTTTCAAGGTCCTAGCTAATTAAGGTCTTGTCTTCCGAACACAACAAAAAAATAGAACAGTCTTTGCATTGGTACCTGGCAGGCTTTATCATTCCACTAGCATCCTGGAGAATATTTATACGTTCTCTTCTACTTGGAAGTACATGAAAAGAGTTCAACAGCCCCTTTAACATTGAAAAAATTAAAAAGAAAAAGAAAAGAAACCAAATTGGTAAGTTAGAATCTCCTTCAATTAGATCATATAGCAAGTTCTACAATTTATCAAAGTTGGTACCCACTTACATCCACTATATTAACCATAAAGTTAGCAAAGGTAGGCAAAGCTCTGCTTCCAACATGAGCTTCTGCTTCGATGTTCAAGTGCTCAAATCTAACCTCTATTGTAGGAATGTCAATTCCAACTCTGATATCATCCAAGGAATAAGAAGAAGAAAAGGAGAAGCCATCAATGCAATCCAAAGGCAGTTCAACTAAAATGAAGAGGAAAAAACGAGAGTGGGATTCTCACCTATCAATTCGATCCCTGAGCTTAAGCAAAAACTTCTCATTGTCCTCTTCGGCAGTTCTCACAAGTCTTTCAAGCAAATCTCTCCTTTCTTGCAACCCAAGTTTCTGTATATCGATCTCTGTGGTTTTCCCTTCAGGTGAAGTCAGCAAACCTTTCCTCAAACGTTTAACCGTAGGAAGTTTCTGAGTGGCAGCCCATTTGAGAGCTTCTTCATCATCCTCTTGATGGAAAGAGTTAGAGAAGATCTCAGCGTCACTATTCCTCCAAATTGATGAACTATCAATCCTGAAACTACCCCCACCCTCCATGCCACCATAAAAAAGTTCTAATCTTTAGTAACTATAATCCAGAAACAACAACAAATCTCGAGAGAGAAAAAAGTAATGTAAATCACTTGTCAACTTGATCTTACTTTATTTCTTTCGCTCTTTTTTTCTGTGGTTGGAAGGACCCACAGTTCGTAAACCTTTGACTGAATGGGAAACAACAAAAGATGTTGTCATATATGTATATATATATGACAACATAGGGGAATATACATTGGGGGCTGTCATTTTCAACGTAGCTGCACATGTCATGTTGGTGATCCTTACAACGTCCAAAACCAGTTGCCACTCAACAGAATTGAGTTGACTTTTATCTCTTCCAATGAGAAAAGAGTGTGGTGAATATAATATCAGTTTTGGGATAAACAAATGAGATGGGTTATATCAATAATTACATCTTCTGAAAGCACACACTTCACCAGATTGGTTGACTTTATATTTTAGTAAAAAATAAAATTGGCTTTTTTCCTGTCTTCTAAAAATTTAGACATCTTTTTGTAATCTATTCTCGTTGATTATGTTTTCTGAAAGCACTAATTAACATCACCAATTTAGTTGACTTTTCTTTATTAAAAGAAAAATAGATTTTTATTTTATTTTATTTTTAGAGTAAATATCTTTTTTGCTCCTCATTAAATTTCACGATGCCCGTTTTAGTCCCTAGAAAATAAAAAGGTCCATCGTGGTCCCTAAAAAATTCAAAATGGACCCATTTAGTTGAAATCGTTGTCCATCACAAATTCAAAAAAGATCCATATTAGTCCCTAAAAGTACTAAAATGGATCCTTTTTTGACTTTTTATTTGTTAGGGACTAAAACGGGTATCGTGAAATTTGCTAAGAACTAAAAAAGATATTTACTCTTATTTCTATGTGCAGTGGCGTGCGTGAGACGGCGGAGGGAGGAAAATGAATTTTTAATGAAAGTAAAAAATAAAATTATCTTCAAAATAAAAAAAACGAACACGGTGACTGACTGATAAGAATGGGAACTATTGAAATGGATTTCAGCCAAAATCTAAACGCTGCGTTTTAATTGTCAATGGAATCATCGACGAAAGTGGGCCTTAATTATCCTCCGTTTGGGCTTTCCTCCCTTATCTATTGAAATTGCTTAAGATTACAATGAAATTTAAATTAAGGTTTAACATAGATTTTGGTTCCTATAATTATCCTCCATTTGGGCTTTCCTTCCTTAAATATTTTTGTGGTATGAGTCCCTATATTTTCATATTACTAAGGTTTTAGTCCTTTAAAAATCAAATTGTAGACACCAAATTTTCATGAAAAAAATAATTAATTATATATCTCTAAATACCACAAGCAAAACAGGGAACTAAGACTTGGGCACATAACTTGCTTGATAATTTGTCTACAAAAGGGATGAAAAAGCTCATTAACCACTAATTTAGTTTTAGTCGTTAATGCTTCTGTGAGTTTTGTTTTCTTAGTTGGATTATAGGAATCTTAGACTGGAAATGAAGTAGGAAGAAGAAAGTAATGTATAGAGCCTGAAATTTCCTTAAGAAAACATATGAACAGGGACTTTCAAACAATTAAGATTACAGAAAGCTATATGGATCTTTTCTTTTAAAATCTTCAAGGAAACATCCTATACAAAAAATTTGAATGCTGTTCTTAACTTCATTGAAAAGTCTCACTTCAACTAGTTTGAGACAAATGAGTCGTGGATGTTGATGTTCTTTAACGTCGTTGGAAATTAAGCATCTTCACTGATATGGCAAAGACCACTGCAAAAACTACTGGGAATGCAACAATCACTGCTGCAACCACTCCCAGAAAATCATGCTTAAAACCTAAGTAACGTCTCACAAAGTCTTGCACTGTTGCCCTTCCGTCATTGGTATCAATGCTTTGCTTTATGTCTCCATACTGTGAAGCAACCAATCCATATAAACTCCAAGCCACTGGATTTGCCCAACTGTACCACCTCCACCATACTGGGATTCTCTGTTAGCCAATTCCAAAATGGGAAAATAAATAAACATAATTAGATATCTACTTCTATGCTTATAAAGTACGAATCTACGGTGCATTAAACATGAAAGGAAGCCAAAACTTACCGGTCGTGGAACTATGAATCCTGAGAAGAGATTCCATACTGCAAAGAATGCAGAGGAAACTATAGTGGAAATGTGTTGGTTTGGGGTCACTGCCACTGCCATCATGCCATAGTAGGTGAAGTATAGGAATGTGAAATACATGAAGAATAGGTACCAGAAAACTTTAGCCACAGTCCACTCAAAACCAATCATTGCATAAACTATAATGCCATATACCACAGCTTGTACAAGAACATATGGTATCTCAATTAGAACCTGCAAGACAATATATTAAGATAAGAAAGAAAGAATGCAAAGGAAATTAAATAATCAATCTTTCTAATTACTAAATGAAGAGAGTATTACTATTACATATTTTTTATGCTCCCAAGACATTATATGCATCTACTTTTTCATTAAATATTTTCTTTATTAAGTGTTAAAGAAGATGAGGAGGATATAACATCACTCAGATAAAAGATAAGTTTTACAAATAAGGAATTGCTTAGTTACCTGAGCAAAAGCATATGGCAAGGCTGAATACATTCCTGCTGCTTTTTCCCTATAAAAGACTGTTCGTTCAACAGCAACCGTTGGCTGCACTGCATTAGCATTCTTAATACCAATAAGGAGAACAGCAGCATACATTGAGCCCATGGCATTAAAAAGATCTTGTTGCTTTTCACTGCAATAATTGATGTGAAAAATCACTGTTAGATCAAACAGAAGTTACAGAACACAAGAGTTTGAAGTCACAAAATTTCCAAGTTTCCAGTTTGATCTTACAATTTGGAGCCAAGGTTCCAAAACATGCTCCCAAGCAAAACTGCTACAGCGGTTGAGTAAAGAAATCTTACGGCAGTGTATAGAGGATTGCGCCAGTAAGACCAATGTTGTTTCCATAAGCAAGCTATGCATTGGGTCAAAAATGATCTTGAGTACTGTGAAGGAAAATAAAGGTCTTTTGAACCAGGAGCTGGAGTACTCGCTTCAGTAATAAGTGCTTTGTTCCTCCTGAAACAAAATGCCAAAGACCAGTTTATATCAGCAAACATTCTATACCGCGACGAATAACATACAACAAAATTCTTGTACTTTTCGCCAGTAAGTGCTTTCTAGCAGATTATTTTCCATTTCTATAGTTTGATTAGACTTCATATTATTGAAATTTACCTGTATAACTCTGAATTTTTGTACACCTCCGCAAAATCAAGCCCCAATTCCATTTCTTTTGCTGAAGTTGTGACTTCCAACATCCATGTTGCCGGATTATAGCCATCTTTAATCTTACTGACACCTTCGATTCCCTTCAAGGTAGAAGTGTGCCCATGAGTGAAATTGTTACACTTAGATAACGATTTGATGCTAAACATGAATTCGATATTCCCTATTTTTAATAGCATTTTTATTTCCTACCTCAAAGTAACTAATTAAATGGGAAGAATGATATCCAAGTGGCCCCACATATATCTCTTGCCCTCCTTGCTTCAATAGCAATAACTGCATTTCATTGTGAAAAAAAAAGATTAGAAACTCAGTAATGGAAGAGAACTAACTAAAATTGCTAGATTTCTTGATTCTGCTCATTTCACCTCATCAAAAGATTCAAATATGTCAATGCTAGGTTGATGGATGGTGCAGACAACTGTTCTTCCAGTGTCTACTGTGTTCCTAATTGTTCTCATAACAATAGCAGCAGCTCTTGCATCTAGCCCTGAAGTTGGCTCATCCATGAATATTATAGAAGGATTTGCCACAAGTTCAACTGCAATAGTCAACCTTTTGCGTTGCTCTGTTGACAGACCATTAACACCAGGCAATCCAACTAATGCACGCCTTAGTGGTTTCAGTTCCACTAGTTCCATGACTTCCTCAATGAACATCTGCAACCATTAGTCAGATCCAAAGTTAGTAACATTGATAAAACATGCAAGGTATTTTTTTTTTTTGTCACACTCATCGTTTAGTTTCCTGTGTTATTTTATGACATAATAATTCCATCCATGAATGGTAAATAACACTGGTTTGGCACTTATTCTCTGATCAGCTAATGATTTAATTTACATGCAAACTTATTTGTATGGATTTGTTGCAGCAGCTCCACCCGGGGAAGGGAAGCGCTAGAATATTCCAATTAGCCACACTTGTACAAGTAAGAAATTTTCTAACAGTACAAGGATGCAGTATAACTAAAGTGGCTATATCACGGCAATCTCAAGTGTTCAAACATGTTAACAACCTATGTTAAACTAAAGTGCAAAGGGTAAACCTCAAGGCACAAAGTTCCTGACTTACAAGGGTAAGTGTAAGGAAATTATACAGAGCCTTACTCTTATTTTTTAGCAAAGATATTGTTTTCAATATTCCGTGACCTTCTCATCACAAAGAGCAACCTTACAGTTGGCCCAAGCCTATGTTAAACTTAAAACAGTAAACATGAAAACCAAGAAAAGGCATGTGATTCAGATACCAACCTTCCTGGTTTCTGCCTTGATGTCTGGGGATAATCGGAGCCATGCTGAATAGAGCAAGGATTCATACACAGTAACATGAGGAGAGTGGATATCGTTTTGCTCACAGTACCCAGAAATCCTTGCAAATGTTTCTTGCTTCTTTGGATACCCAGAGATTGTGATGTTCCCCCCAATATACCCCCCAGTTTTTCTACCAGCAAGCACATCCATCAGAGTTGTTTTGCCAGCACCAGTGACACCCATTAGAGCAGTAAGAACACCTGGCCTAAAAGATCCACTGACACCCTTCAAAAGAACCAATTTATCCTCAAGAACACCTCGGTTCCTCATTTCCTGCAAGTTTGGTGCAAGTATTCAATTATTTCTATTTCACTAATGCTCTCAAAGTTGAATACAAGCCTTTTCAATTTGTTGTTTCTACATTACCTGTGGCATGTCGACGGAATATGTTACTTCATCGAAGCTGATGGATTGTGGTTCAAAAGGAAGAACCATTCCTCTTTTTCTGTTATGATTTTCCTCTGCAGCAACTGGTTCTTGCCTGGTGGATGAAGTGCGAGAAGAGGTGCTTCCACTTATACTTTCGCCATTTGTCACTGTGAAGTGGAGCCAATGTTACTCATAATGTGTTATGTGAAATGAAAATCAACTATTACTCATCTAGACATTACTACATTTTCAGTTGTTATGAGATGAAGTACCTCTATTTTTGTGCTTCAAAATGTTAGTTCCTTTTTTACTACTACCATTCTGCTCATTGTTTTGAGGTTCCTCTGATATAACAGCTTGATGCTTCCCGAGTGCTGCATAATCGATTTTGTGATATTAGTACATAGGCTTACCTTAGCTGGTTTATTAAACATTTAAGGTAAAGACACTCACGATTCAAGTGAGTGAGAGCAAGGATGTAGCCAAAGTTGAAAAGTAATGTATATCCAATCATAGCTCCAACACCTATCCAGTACCAGTATGACTGAGTGAAGAACCCACGGGATTTCAAAACTTCAACTCCTAGTGGTTCCGTTGAGTTAGGAAGAACCTTTCATAAGAAAATATATCCAGAAATCAGATTATTTATATGATTAGGAGGCCATAATAAGGATCATATAGACTAATTAAAAACTTACTTGTGTCCATTTCTTCCCAAGGAACTCATTATTTACCATGGCATTCTGTGCATACATCATAGGTGATATCCAGAAGCCCCATAGCCACCATTTTTTTATATTGTCTGTGGGCATAAAGAGAAGAAAAGAAAACAAAAGAACACTGTTAGTCAAGGAACACAGTGGCAGAAAGACTACGATTGTTTTTTTTGTATCCATGATACCTTTTGATAGGACAAAACCACTCATAGCAAAAAGGATGGCCAATGCAAAAGACCCAAATGTTAAAGCCACTGTCATTTCCCTCCCAACTGCTGCAATGAATCGGAATAATGAAGAAGCCATCTGGTTTACTAGTACTAGAAGAAGGTATTGCCGAAAAAATCTGCATTAGGTAGACACGTAAATACATGTCAGTATTTAATTAGTAATGTTCAAAAAGAAAATGAGACAAGGGAGAATAGATTAATTCACAAGTAAGCTGAGTATGTGTAAAAATATAGCTCTTTTACCTTCCAACATATGGATCAAAACCAATGACATAGTAGGTAAGGAATACCCAAACCCCCACTTCCACAATGGTCATGGGGATTTTTAGGATCCATGCAGGAAGACCAAATGCCCATGGAGGAAAGAAGAGATTTTCCCTTTGCTTGTAGAACACAGGAAGCCTTGAAACCACCATGGAGAGCTCAGCCATCCCATTGAACATAATCACAACAACGGCATAGAACAATGCACCCGCATATATACCTCCGTGAGTCACAGAATCTCTGTGCATCTCAGTTCGGAGGAAAATAGTCATGGCAATAATTGCCAATACCGCAAGCTAGAGGGAGGGGGAAGCGGTCAGTAATGGACTTGAATAATGAACGCACAACAATAGATGATAAGACAATCAAATAAATAAATTCCATTTCGCAGACATACTTGGCAAAACTTGAAGATGTAGACAAATGAATTGCGCTTCATAAGTAAATATTCTCTTGATAAGCAAGCTTTTAACAATTCCCATTTTCCCACTCCATACTTTTTGGTGGTCAAAGCAGCTGGGTGGCTTTTAGACTTGTCAAATTCAGTGGCAAGTTCCTCCTCAAGGTTTCTTCCAACATGGAATGTCTGAAGGGCTTCAGAAAACTCTCTGGCTGTGACAAATCTATAAGGTTGATCTTTGTGTATCCAGTACTGCTCTTGATCTTTCCTTGATGTCACCTATAACATAATAATTTTCACAGTCAAAATGAAGTTGGTGTATTGCATATTAAACCCTCTTTTAAAACAATGTGACTTGATTATATCATTGAGAGAAGACATAATGACACTTACTTCTTGCAAAAAGTCTGCCACACCTTTCCTATTAGGACATTTAAAACCCATTGAAGCAAAAAATTCAAGCACATGCTCACGGGGACCTTGGTACACAACGTGACTATCAGAGAGTAGAATAATGTCATCAAAAAGATTGTAAGTCTCTGGTGGTGGCTGCAGGAGTGAGATAACTGCGGTTCCTTTGAGAATGTGGACATATTGCTTTAGTGAATTCACAATTTGAAAAGTTGTTGAGCTATCCAAACCAGTAGATATCTCATCCATGAAAAGAGCTTTAGCTGGTCCAACTAGCATTTCACCTGTATTTATAAATTTATAATTATTAAAGATTCTCATACAATCAATTTACTAAGGTGATTAAACATGATACACTTATACATTGAAATTAGGTTTGTTTTACCTGTTGTAACGCGTTTCCTTTGTCCACCAGAGATACCTCTTAACATTGCATTTCCTACAACAGTATCAGCGCAGACCTCTAGTCCCAAAACCTGCAAATATATAGCACAAAAACAAGAGACTTTAGAGCAAAATATTATAGTTATTTCATGATGATCAAAGATGGTTTTGAAAGTATAAATTTTACCCTTAGGACATAATCTGTTATCAAATTTGCCTTCTGGCCTTCAGTTGCTACCGCCTGAGCATTATGAGTTAAAAGGACAGCAAATTAATTATCAGTCATTTCTGTTTGTATGTAAAAGAAATAGATGATGTTCTCAATTTCTAGATAACTAATTGATGTAACCGAGATTAAAAGTCAGTTCTTATTTGCTTTTACAATTATGATAATACAATTATTAAGCTGTCACATTCTTCTCTCATTGGTTTGAAAAGCTACCAGCTATTCAACAATATAAAAGGAAGGCTAAGGGATGCAGGTAGAAACATGTCGCCGAAAAATAATGGCTTCTATGTTACCTTCATGTAGACATCAACATCTGGATCAGGCTTGATATTTGCCTCTTTTTCTCTTCTTGACAATTCTGCTAGCAAGTCTGCAGAATGCCAAAAGTATATTACACATAGTCAAAACTTGATTTTCATCTAAAATTTCAGCCTGTTTTTCAAAATTGAATTTAATAAACATAAGCAAAATGCATTCCTGTTGACTAACCATAACGAGGCCCAACTCCTTGGACTCTTGCTGAAAAGGCCAAGGTTTCTCTGACCGTCATTTCTCCAATATGAAGATCATTTTGATTGACATAAGCAGCAGTTCTTTGGGGTACAAACTCATTCATCTCATGACCGTTATAAGTCACCTTTCCAGAGAACTGATCAAGATGCCAGTCTATATTAGCTAGATATTCAAGATTCAAAAGTAGAGCTAAAACATAAAAGCATGGATAAAAAATAAAGAAATATCTTCTCTCTTTAATGTCCTAACCTTCAATTTTGAATCAAGTTTTCCAGCCAAGGCCAATAGGAGTGTGGTTTTTCCAGAACTTGGAGGACCCAAAAGCAATGTCATTCTGGAGAGGAGCGAATGGAAACATGTTATAGTGGTTCTTAAGGTCCTAACTAATTATCAATAAATAGAACAGTAATTGAATTAGTACCTGGCAGGCTTTATTATTCCACTAACATCCTCGAGAATATTTATATGTTGTTTTCTACTTTGAAGTATATGAAGGGAGTGCAACAGGCCCTTTAGCATTAAAAAAATAAAAAACGAAACAAAATTGGTAAGATAGAATCTCCTTCAATAAGATCATATAGCAAGTTCTACTATTTATGATAGTTGGTACCACTTACATCCACTATATTAACCATGAAGTTGGTGAAGGTAGGCAAAGCTCTGCTTCCAACATGAGCTTCTGCTTCGATGTTCAAGTGCTCAAATCGAACCTCTATTGTAGGAAGATCAATTCCAACTCTGATATCACCCAAGGAATAAGAAGAGGAGAAGCCATCAGTGCATTCCAAAGGAAACTCAATTAAAGCCAAGAAGAAGAAGAAATGAGAGTGTGATTCTCACCTATTAATTCGATCCCTCAGCTTCAGCAAAAACTTCTCATTGTCCTCTTCAGCAATTCTCACAAGTCTTTCAAGCAAAGCTCTCCTTTCTTGCAACCCAAGTTCCTGTATATTGATCTCTGTGGTTTCCCCTTCAGGTGAAGTAAACAAACCTTTCCTCATGCGCGCAACAGTAGGAAGTTTCTGAATGGCAGCCCATTTGAGAGCTTCTTCATCATCCTCTCGGTGGAAAGAGTTAGAGAAGATCTCCTCAGCATCACTATTCCTCCAAAATGATGAACTATCAATCCTAAAACTACCCCCACCCTCCATGCTACTAAAAATAAAGTTTTAATCTTTATGCAACCCCACCTAAAACTCGATTGAACCCAGTAACTATTCCCCCATAAACAACAACAAATCTCTAGAGAAAAATTAAAAAAAAAATGTATTGAATATCACTTGTCAACTTTGGTTGAATGTGAAAGAATAAAAGATGTTAGCATATATATAGAGAGAGAGGAGTAAGAAGGTACGTAGGGTATATTGTTTTTTTTTTTTTAAATACTCAGTAAATTTTTATTCAGTTGTTAAATAAAAAAATTATTCGTGATCTCTAAGAAATTTAAAATAGATTTATTTTAATCTTTTTAGAGATTAATGTGAGTTTTTTTTGAATTTATGAGGAACCACAATTTTAACTAAATTGGTTCATTTTGAAATTTTTAGAAACACAACTAACTTTTTTATTTGCTAAGATTAAAGCGGATATTATAAAATTTGGTAAGACACAAATTTTTTTTTTTTTTTTTTTTTTTTTTTTTTACTGTGATAGAATGGGCGGGGATCTGAAGTTTGCAAGAAACGTAGCTGCACATGTCATGTTGATGATACTTGTTAACACAGGAATGCGTCGAAAAAGGTGGCCATTACCAATCAACAATGCCAACTCAGCTAGTTCAGTTGGTTTTCTCTTCCTTTTAGGAAACGTACAGTGAATATAATATCACTTTTTGGTTGAACATGCCCAGTGACATCATTGATTATGTCTTCTCAAACCACTGTACACAATTACACATCACGTGTTCAGTTTACTTTTGTTTTAATAACGGGAAAATAATTCCTGCATTTATTGTCAAATCATCTCTATGCATCAGACATCAAATTTGAGAGAAATAAATCATACTTTTATGAGAAAGAAAAAATAAAATGAGACAGAAATAAAAATTTCAGTATAAAGCAAGAGATTTGATTTTTTTTTGCAGTAAATACAAAAAATTTGCCCTTTAAAAAAAATTATGTTTTCTATAGTCACGAGAGACACACAAGAAAAAATGTGTATCTTTTTAAAGGACACACACTTATATTATTTTAAAAGAGATAAAGGAATAAATTATGTGAAAAAGAGAGTGGAGAAAAAAATTTATAATTTAAAAATTAAAAAAATACACTACATTCATCTAAAAAGACCATTCTTTTAAATGACAAATACTAAACCCCAGAGACAAACATAGTTTTTCGCTGATGCATAAAAAGATTGTATTTACTTTTATTTTTATTTTAAATAGATGGTTGGGTCAACAGGTCATATAAGATAATGAATTAATTTCCTGTTGCATGATACTCATTTATCTCTTAAAAAAAATGTTAACTATTTTTATTTTGGGAAAAGATATTGTAACAACCAAGTTATGTTACTATTATGTTACTACCAATCAATCTCACCGTTAGATCATTTATGTTGATCAAACAGTTATATTTATTTCCATCTTTGTATGATAATGATTTTCTAAATTTAATATTTTATATTTATTTTCACCTTTGTATGGTTATGATTTCTCATATTTAATGCTTTCACTTTAAATACGGTGAATCATAACCACATAAAGATAAAAAGAAATATAACCGTTGGATCAACATAAGCAATCTAACGGTGAGTTTGATTGGTAGTAACATTGTAGTAACACAACTTGGTTGTTACAATATCTTTTTCCTTTATCTTTATATGTAATTTATGTATAGGAAAAAAATATGTCATCTTAAATGACACTCCTTATATCATTTTGTAACAGTGATCAATGTGTTATGTTTTTTGCATTTATATGTTAAACTCTTACGCAAACATTAAAATTTACTAGAGTGTCACACAATGAAATTCGCTATTACTAGTAGCAAATTTGGTAGTTAATGATTTTTGACACGTGGCACAATTTCACAGGAAAAGATGACACGTGTCCAAGTTCGCTACGACAGGTATCGAACTTGGCAGCTAATGATTTCGTGATATGTAGCACACTTTCACAGGAAAAGCTGACTGTGTTAAGCTCGTTATCAGGGATAGCGAACTTTGTGACACAATTTCGTTGCCCGATCAGAATTAATATACCAATCACAATCAAAAAAAGAAAATGAAGGAAAATGACAATTCAATTAATGTATCAATCACCAATTATAATTAATATGTCAATCACCGATCGCAATTAATATACGAATCAAAATTAATTGTGATTGGTATATTAATTATAATTATTGATTGATACATTAATTAAATAATTCTTTTTCTTGGTTTTCTTTTTTATTATGATTCGTACATTAATTCTGATCGGACAATGTGATTGTGCCTAGAGGTGTTAACGAGCCGAGCCGAGCTTTGGTCTTAACGGGCCGAGCCTGTGTTCAAATGTGTCAGACTGGCCTTAGCCTGTTACTTGTTACGAATATAATATCAGCCTGTGGCCTGACTCATTTACAAAAAAAATAAAAGCCTTGTTTAGCCTGTTAGTCTGTTTAAAAAAAATAAGACAACAAAAATTTATCCAAACAAAATATACAATGAACAACACTAGTAATTCCATAAATATTCATAAATTTAATGTATATCCAAATAGCATAATATAAAATAAAATCATTTAAAAAGTCTGTTTAATTAATAAAATGGGATGAAATGAATTGAGAAGAGAGAGAGGGCTATCACAAGTAGTATAAAAAATAAAAAAATAAATAAAAAAAATAATATATTAGGCAAGCCTGAGAGGCTCTAAGGTCGAGCTTTTGAATTGGAGCCTGACGCCTTTTTATTAAACGAACTTTTATACAAGTCCAAGCCTGGGTCCAACAATCAATTTTAGACATGTAAGCTCAGGCCTTCACGAGTCGAGCCAAAGGCCCCTGGCTCGTTTAGCACCCCTTTGTGCCACATAGCGCACCAAATTTCCTACCCTTGGTAGCAAACTTAGTTCAGTCAATTTTTCTTGCGAAAGTGTGCCACGTGTCAGGAAATTATTGGCTACCAAACTCGCTATCAGTCATAGTAAATTTCAACGCATGACAGTTTGATAAAAAATATTATTCGCATGACAGATTAGTTAAAAAATGCCAAAAATGTGATTGTATGGTCACTGTTCATATTATTTCACTCTCACAAAAAAAGAACCCACTAAAAAAAATAAAGACAAATTAAAATGTGGGACTCACACCTTTTTATAAGAATGAAATAATATAAGATGTGTTATTTAAAATGACACCCAATTTTTCATTTGTGCAATAATTTTCATTTAAATTGGTTATGAACGCTGGTCTAGACGCAACCTTTATCATCATCACATTGGTTATGAAAACTTGTAATTAAAATATGCAAAAGTTGTGTATTTTTGTAAAGACAAATAATACTGCATCAACCTACAATTTAGACATCAAAAGGGTTATAAAATTGAATGAAATAAATTTTCCTTTGGTTATATACTCTAAATATTACAGTTGAGATAGTCTTGTATATATTCAACAACAACAAAAAGTATATATATTGATTATTCTATTTTTATTTTTCAAATATGGCTTTTTAGTATATTAATTATCAAAAATAATAATCTCGTATTGTAAGAGACTATTATCTTATGTCATAGATACTTTAATAATTGTACTATTTTTTCTTTTTTTAAGTCGTGAATCCCATCATTTTGTGTCTTAGCATAAAATATGCTCTATCTTATAACATGGTAGTAGACTAGCCCATTAATTATTTGTTTATATATTGATTATTCTATCCATTTTGTTGGACCTTATATATGCTCCAAAATATTTTGGTGATGATACAATTGTTTGTTGTTTTATAACAGAATAAACTCATGCTTATTAGTTAGTTGAAGCATTTGGATAAATTATTAAAGGGTTCGCTTTCTATGCACTAATTGCAGATAAGTTATCTGTAGTAAGTCCAATATAACGTTGTTTTCAGGCAGAAATCATGGTATTTTTGTAATTTTAATATATTTCAGGGTTATTATAGTATTTATAATTATAATTTTTTAATCTTTCAATCTCCAAACGAGGTCGTTTTGAAAATAAATACAGATAACTTATCTACAATAACTACAGAAATATTTTTCTTATTATTAAAAATCAAAGGAGCCTAAAGTGAATATGATAAGGCTTCAAATTGTTGGAGAAAATTGACAGACTGAATACTAATAGCATACTCTTTGAAATATTCTTTTCAACATACAACTATTAGTAGTTAAATTTCATGTAAGTCCAGCCAAACAGAAAGTGTATCCATATGATTTATTAAAACTTATTTGAAATTCAATAATAAAAAGCTAGTGTGTGTTTTTTTGGGTAAACAAAAGCTAGTGTATTAAAATGCATATTGTTAACATTTCTTATGAAGTAAAAGAATAATTTAATCATGTATAGGTATATATTTTTGAAATTAAGAGTATTAAATAATTTTTTTAATATTTATACAAAACCTCGCATAATAATAATTTTAAAATAGATTGATTACAATGTATGTTAAAAAACAGGGTGAACACTTCTTGCACCAGAGTTTAAAATCTATTGGAAGTCTGTACCAAAAAAAAAATCTATTGGAAGTGTCTTGCCAAAATCAAGAAGACATACGCCAAAAAAAAAACATTCAAATTAAATGAAGAAACACTTTCATTAAAGGAAAAAAGTGTGTATCGTTTTAAAGAACACAAAATTGTATTATTTTAAGTGAGAGAAAGAGATAAATAAGTGAAGAGAGTGTGGATGAATTTTTTTAAAAGATGTGGATCCTACCTCTTTGGAAGAGTGAAAGGATGTAAGATATGTCATTTTAGTCATTTAAAATGACACATTCTTTTCCCTTCTTTAAAAAGAATATATATATGAGGAAATATCTGTTTATAAATTTTTACAAATTACATTATGTACTTCCAGAAATATATAGTGTAACCTAGTGTACTTTCGGGGATATATTGTGTAGTTAGTAAAAGTTTGTAAATATAACTCTTCCTTATATATATTTTATTTTCACCAATCAATTGTTATCATTTATTGAAAATCAAATT